TTTACTCCCCCCCCCCCCCCCCCCGTAATATATCTACGAGTAGCGATTCCTCCGATCCTTTTTACTGTCATTTAATATTTTGATACTCTCATTAAAAAAGTACTTAATAATTTTGATCGTAAGAGATATTTTACTAAATTATACACATGTAATACATAAATTATGCATATATTATACATTCACCGGCTATTTAGTTTAAGTGATAGGGTGAGAGGCTATTTGGGTTAATTCTTCATTATATTACTCCTTCCGTTCAGATATCAAGAATAATTAACTTCTTTTTTAAAAAAATTGCCCTTCGAGTAAAGAGTCTCGGAATGTCTATTATATTTCTAATTAACAAATTAATGAGATAGTAAATGTTAATATGGATCTTCATTGTTAATTAATGTTAAAAGGTAGATTCCTTAATAATTAATATATATAAAAATAACCAAAAATTAATTAAAGTGGACCGAAGAGAGTAATAATTAATTATTAAATATCTTTTTGGAATACTAATAAGGGTGGAATTTGAAAGAAAAATTAATGTCTCCTTGATTTCTTAAAGTGTAATTTTGGAAGCAATTTTTTTTTTGGTGATAGATAAAGAAGAGTAGAAAGAATAAGTTTTCAAGGAAAAGTCAAATAGACAAATAGAAAACCACGTTTGGTTTGTATTAATTCGACTTGTGGCATCTTAGCAGTTATTTTTGTCTCGAAGTTAAATTAAGTGATTTGAACACTTGTAATTATAGCACTGTATACGGTCAAAATCGACTCTTGGCTTCGTATGACTAATCGAGATGAGAACATGATGGTCCAAGGATCATCATTATAATATCGAGCCATGACACGAAGTTAGGTTGTCGAGCTCGAGCCCCAGAGACCGATCGAGATCGAGTCAAGGTCGAGCTCGAGACCCAGAGACCGATCAATACCGAGACCGGCCAAGATCGAAATCGAGTCAAGGTCGACCTCGAGACCCAGAGACCGGTCAAAATTGAGATCGGCCAAGAAACAAAAAAGCCGTTATAGCCGTATTTGGGGAGAGAATCTCGGCGAAAATCACGGCTTTAATCAAGGAAAAGCTAATTAATTAATTTATCATGAGATCCTCACTATGTATTTTTAATTATATCCAAAATGGGATTCCCCCACTATATTAAGAGTGGTTATCATTTGTAATAGGGGACATTGATTGATACACACATTCATTCTAAGATATAGAGAAAAGAGAGAAAATACTATCCTTTTTGGCTTTTTATATTTAATCATACTGCTTCTTTCTACTAATCGTACTTCACTCAATTTGGAGGTGATAAAACTTGAAGGCTTAGGCCAACTAGTTCATTCGGTTTGCATCCATTTCTTTTATAACTAATTTCGATAATTATTTACATATCTTTCCCAATTTGTATCAATTTATATCACGTATCCTTAGAACTACGTATAAATTCAACTCTATCTGTTTTTCGGGTAAACAGTTTGGCGCCCACTGTGGGGCTAAGGATAATAGTGGTTATTTGGTAAGAATCTACGTAAAACGTACTATTTTACATTTGCTCTTGGAAGTATCTTTGATTTCAGGTTAAAAATAACGAACTATCAATTAATGGCCCTGCCTATCGACAACGAAGCTGGCCATCAAGATGAGAATAACAACCTGATGCTCGGGGATGAAAGGCCACTCGTTGACCCCGTTGGGACTCGGGCCGTAGATCCAATTGACATTAATTCATATGTGGCCATTAAGGCGAACCAACATTCCGACCCCGAAAATAACATTCATGGCAGAACTCGATCTGCAGTTCGAAAAACCCAAAATGTTGGAGAAGACGGTATCAGCCTGCGCATGATTTTCAAAATGTTGCAAGCTCAACAGGTAGCGATAGCTCAATTGCAGAGCCAAACCCAGGCACCGAGCAGGCCCGAGCCCGGTCCACCCCAAGAAGTCACCCACAGAACGAGGCCAGTTATAGTAAGGTCAAATAAATAAGAATCGGGGACTAACCCCGAAATTATAAAGATGTTCGAGGAACTGACAAAACAGATAGAGTTAGGAGAAAAGAGGATTGAAGTAAATGATAAAAAAGTAGAAACTTATAAATCCAGGGTTGATCAAATCCCTGGGGCACCACCAATATTAAAGGGTTTGGATTCCAAAAAGTTCTTACAAAAGCCCTTCCCCCCGAGCGCAGCTCCCAAACAGATCTCCAAGAAGTTCCGCATGCCCGAAATTTCTAAATATAATAGAATGACTAACCCCAACGAACATGTCACCTCTTACACATGTGCCATTAAAGGGAACGATCTAGAGGACGACGAGATCGAATCCGTATTATTAAAGAAATTCGGGGAAATCCTGTCAAAGGGAGCAATGATATGGTATGATAATTTACCGCCTAACTCTATCAATTCTTTTGCCATGTTGTAGATTCTTTTGTAAAAGTATGCGCCAGAGCCATAAAGGTCGAGACAAGGAAGTCAGACCTTTTCAAGGTAAGGCAAAAAGATAATGAGATGCTAAGAAAGTTCGTATCTCGTTTTCAAATAAAACGAACGGATCTACCATCGGTCACAGATGATTGGATCGTTCAAGCTTTCACCCAAGGACTGAACGAACGAAGCTCAATGGCATCACGGCAGCTGAAGCAGAACTTGATTGAGTATCCGGCTGTTACCTGGGCCGATGTACACAATCGATATCAATCGAAGATTAGAGTCGAGGACGACCAGTTAGGTTATGGGTCCGTTATTAAAAGGGACATTGACCGAGAACCAAGATCGAACAGGGACCGTTATCGCCCGTATAGCGGAGATCGTAGGGGTAGCGTACTAGGACGCAACTCCATACGAGGCGAAAGGAGAAGTGATCGAGGCCAAGGGTCTCTAGGGTTGATGAACAAGAATGGTTTCGACAGGCATACCGGACCTAAGGAAGCACCGCGGTTATCAGAGTATAACTTCAACATTGATGCATCTGCCATCGTGTCGGCTATCAGACACATCAAAGATACTAAATGGCCTCGACCTCTGTAGTTCGATCTAGCCCAGAGAAATTCCAATCAAATGTGCAAGTATCATGGCACCCATGGCCACAGAACGGAAGATTGCATGCAGTTGAGAGAGGAGGTAGCCTGGTTATTCAATGAAGGGCACCTTCGAGACTTTTTAAGTGACTGGGCCAAGAATCATTTCAAAAACAGAGAGTTCAACAGATAAAACGAACAAGAAGAGCCACAACATATTATCCACATGATCATCGAAGGGATCGATGTCCCCCAGGGGCTAGTGCCTAA